TAAATGGTTTTCATAATGCTTGTCGGCAAGTTCGCCTGCTGAAAAACGATGAGGTTTGCAAAAAGTTTATCGCGTGAAATTTGCTTTCAGTTTAATTAATATACAATATGAAAGAGCGGAAGATCTAAAACTTATTTAATAGATACGTATCTTGGAGATCTCGGTTCGCTATAAAAAAAACTAAATATTTAAATTTTTTATTAATTTCTTCTATTGCATGTCCATAAATCTACTATTTAGCATTTTCAATTTTTGAGACTAACTTTTTTGGTAATCCTACCTTGGTAAATTTACTTGCGCTTCACTTATTAAAAAGTGCCGCAGGAAGTTGTGCTGCAGAGAGCGGCGGCTGATTGTGAGAATGGAAGGCAATAATAAACTTTGTGAAATTCCTCTCTCGTCACAGTTGTGTGTCGGCGCCACATCTCTCCTCTGCCGGTGGGATGAAATTCAAATATCGCCAGAGCGGGAGATGGAAGAGCTGTCACGAATTATAATATTTCCCAGGGCAGCAGCGCACATCAAATGATACATAAAGGCTGTTAATTTGACTGCATGATTATTTAAATTTCCCCTCCTTACACAATTAAAATGCGTTTTTCACTCTCTAATGATATGAGAGAGGCGCTGTGGAAAAAGCATCCAAGGGCAGCCGAGCGGCCGCTCTTTGTGTGATTATTTTTTATTACCATCGTTCTCCCTCGCCCTGTGCACGAAAGGCCGATTCGGACTTGTCGAAAAATTCCTGAGCCCTATACACAGAGTTTGATGCGTGGTGTTTTATGCTTCCTTCCCACCGAAATTCTCTTCCAAAGAAGGAAAAATTCTCTTCGGAGAAGCAAAAAACGCAGAGTTTAATTAGTCGATAAGCTGGAGAACAGAAGATAAATTAGTTTTTCCAGCACGCGGCAGCCGGGTAATTTTTTACCCATTGACGTTTAGAGTTCTATCTCGTGTTTGTTCTGTAAAAGGAATTAGCATAGATCGCTCTGTGTGTTAGGGCGGAAAATAGCTTTAGTGTCGCCTTTGAAAACAAGTTCCCCTGGTTTTAATGCTGACGGTGATGCGCGGTAATGGGCTAAATGTCACTTTGGCTCCTCTCGAACGCGCCATCAGGGGAATGGATATAATTATTTAGCCCATTTTATTAACACAATATCAGATGCGTGCGTTAGTCCGCCTTGTTTTTTAATAGCTTCTGGATATAAAATCTGGTTTCGTTTATAATCGAATCGAGCCAGCAGCAACTTGATAGCCTTGCCTTTATTTTTATGTGCGCTAATTTTATTGAAGCGTAATTAATGAAATAAAAATTAACGGCGGTTACATTTCCTTCCTTAAAAATTCATTTATAATGTTTGATTTAAATGTAATTAAGATGTTTTTGGTGCTTGGGAATTTCTTTTTTGAAATAGGAATTTTATCTCAAAATTCACATCATTGAAAAGCAGGAACGTTTGGGATCAATGATGAATCTACGAGTCCTGCAGCTGCGTATAGAAAAGTCCAAGGCTGTAAAACCTTCTTCCTATTGGTATAGATATAGATAATGGTGCACGTCGCATGCATTCAAAGACCATATAACATCATTATCGCTGCCGAAGACGCATTTCATTTATTCTGTTATTCTATGTTCCAACTTCCCATTCGTGAGTGCATCGCTGCCGAGAGAATATTTATTTGTATTCAAAGCTGTTGGAGCGCACCCGCGGCTATATTTATATTGCCGATAATCATCATGAAATTGAATAAAAATAACTAATTAAGCATATTCAATCAGTTCAACGGCCTCCAAGAGTCTCATGGCGGTCTTTATATCTCTTGGTTTCTACTTTTAAGTTGCATCTCGCACATGAAAAAAAATAAGTGCATTCTAAAGGGACCTCCAAAAGTTTTGAACTAATAAACATTTTAAGTGTTATTTTTTTTATGACGAAAAAAGTGAAAATATTTGAGGTATTGCTCCATTTTTATTTTCATTTAAAAAAAATGTTTCGCAAAACGTCCCAGCTATAAACAAAGAAAATTTTCTACCTAAAAGATATGGTTTTTCACTGATTTTAATTAGATTTTTTTCCAAAGAGCCTTGGGATGGCAAAACGTTTTTAATAAACATGATTTGAGACTAAAAGGATAAGAGTTGAAAATAATTTTTGTATCTTTCAAACTTTTGAAAACTGTTTTCTTTTGAAGTATCCCTCGCAGCCTTTTCCTAAGGCTAAAATAAATAAAATTTGTATTTTTCCACAAAATGATCAATAGAGATGTTCGCATAAGGCAATGCCAGCGATGGACTTTGATAGCATGGCCAGCGGATGTTGCCAAAACTCTCAAAAACACACATTTCACATTGTAAGGTCGCAGATACGATCTCGGTGGAGTATTTAAAAGGTTTTGTGAATATTTTGCAAGAAAAGAAAAACTGAATGGGCGCAGAAAGCAGCAGCCTCTCTTTCTTTTATCATCAAACGAAATCTTTCGAAAGAAGAGAGAGAGCAAGTTTTACACAAAAGTTGGCCCGGTGCTGAAAGCGAGCGCTGTCACGCTCAGTGGCCGAAAGCACATCTCATTTTTTTCGCTCACTCGCGGAGCAAATTCTCTTTTTGCGGCCGAATTGTTTGGTTGATCAAGAAGAAGAAGAGCAGCAGCAAAAGACCTCCCGTAGTCGCTGCTGGAAACCAAAGAGCGAAAAGCCAACCAAGGTTAACAGGCATTTATTATTCTACGGCCTGCTGAGATAAGCAGCACAGATGCGATCTTTTTCACACACCCGAAAATATCCAAATGCTGCGTTGGGTCCAGCAGGAAAGGGAGTGGTCGTGCGTGTATAATTCCCAGCCTCCTTTTCACCAACTGCCCAAGAAAGTGAAAATTTTCGTGCAATTAACGTCGGCCACAAATCAGCAAAGCGCTAATAAATTTTCCCACCTTTTTTCCTTCGACGATTTCATTAGCAATATTCGCCTGGTGGCCGCACCGCGCCTATTCAGAATGAGAAAAAATGTGCTGTGAATCGAATCACGATAGCATCTTGATGTCCTTTCCAAACATAATTATCTTGTCTTACACTTCACTCTCTGCCGGTGTCTATTATGCATAACAAATGGAATATCCCTGATGGCTAAGTGGCCTCTCTCGGAGAACATCTGTAAGAATATATAAATTTTTCTTCCTCTTCCTCACTCGTCTATATTTTTAATAATATAATTCCGTCTGTGCTGACCAGCCGCCGCACTCACAAAAATGTCCAGACCCGCCGGCGAAACGGGATAAAAAATATTACACCTAATTTTCCTATACACTAGCCCTGATTCGAGCGGCTGATGTGCGTTTTTCTTTGTCTACCGCGCGCCTCTACATCTCTTTTTTTATAGTTGTCCGAATGATGCTCAGCTTGGATGGGCTCCTTAGATATGGTGAGAGACGCTTCAATTTTTTTTTTTTTAATCCGAAACGCATAGCGTGCAAAATGAGCAGTCGTGATCAAAACGCATATAATCAAGAGATTTGTATTAGAAAAGCATATAATATAACAAAAAATGAAAATAAATAAATACATAAAATTCCATTTTTAAATTGCAAGCTTTAAAAAAAAAGTTAATTATAATTAACTAGTTTAAGGAAAGATTATGTATTTAAAATATTTATCAGATTAATTCATTTAATTAAGTGAATTTTCTTAATTCTATATTAAATGGGCTATTATATGTTTGCTTTTATACTAACATAAATCGTGGAAAAAACAAAAGCTGTTTTACACCAGTATTAATGGATTCGTTTGAAAAGTCATGTTGAAATCCACTAATATTAATTTGCTATGCAACTTTGACAAGAAGTGATACTTTTTTGTGCTCGCATTTTGTATAGCTGCCTTTGCACGTAGCAATAAATCTCACTGAAAATTTTATGTTCAAACCTGGTATGTTGTAAAGACTTTATCATTATGCTTCTAGAACAACGCAAAATATAATTGAAATATTGAACAGAACGAAAACGCACAGTTTGCTGCTGGAGGTAAAAAATAAAACATTAATTGCAGATCTCAGGCGAAACTTGTTCCCTAAATAAATAAAGGCAGCGAGGCAAAATCACAAAAAATAAATATTATAATATAAAACAATTATTTTTTTTTTTTTTTTTGGAAGGCTATATAGAGGCTAATTGTATAAGAGGGAAAGACGGAATACATAAAAATATTTTGTTTTTACCAGCATAGAGATAATAGATTTTGTTTTAAAAATCCGCTGCATGCGAATATATAGGAAAAAATGAGCATTTATATAATTTATGACTCACGGCACTTGAGGTAAAATGCTTTGCCTGAACTTCAGGCCCTGAATAAAGGTTTCTATAAATATGAATTGATTTTTTTTACTGCACAATTTCAAGTTAATTTGTCCAATTTTATTTATCAAAAATCATATTGTCTGATGTAATGTAGTCCATTGCACATACACATTGAAACAGGGGAATTCTATAATATGTTAACATCATTGAATTGTTAAGATGTTGATACTAGTCATTAAATTCCAAATAATTTAATTTATTTCAACATAATTTTCTTGATTTAGCCTATAAAATAGCTTCATAAACTTTTTTTAAATTCATAAACACCAAAAAAGAAAATAAATATAATTTAAATTGTTTAAAATATATTAAATTAAGTCTTTAATTTTAAATAATAAAATTTTAAAATTATAAAACTAATTTTTAATGTTTACTGTGCGTTAAGATAAAATACTTTGTAAATTCATTCTTTCAGCACGTGTCGGGGGCAAAAATTAGAATTCTTGATGCGCAAAGGTCCACTTGTTTGGAGGAATGCAGAGCAGAATTAAAATTCTGGTGGTGCCGCGCTGTAGCTTTTTGCGCGGTCCAGCGATCGCAGGGCGTGTGACCGCCTCGTGTCGGGAGCAGCAGCTCCGCTCTCCGTTGGCGGCGCTCGCACGGCGGCGCGCAGCGCCGGCCACAGCCCCCAGACCCCGGCAGTCTGTGCGGGTCCCCCGTGTGGTACACGTCGAGTCCCGCTCGCTGGCAGTTCCTCCGCTCGAGCTCGCTGTCTCTCTCTCTCAACCAACCTCAAAACTCGTCTCACTCACGTGTGTGCGCTCCCGCCATTCACTGACAGAAAACAATTTGCATAGTTCCGTGTGTTTTTGACTCCATCCACTATTTATGTGCTAGGACAGTGTTCGCAATGTTGGCCAAAATGATGAACAGTCTCGGCTGGACACTGCTACTGATTTTGGTTTCGGATTTGGGCGCCGCCTCCAAGATCATCCCCACCGAGGATGCAGGTCAGTTGAATTATCTGAATTTATCAGGATGAAAAATTATTTTAATTATTTGTTTGAAATGAATTTTGCCAGAATATTCTTTTGAACTAAAAATAAAGTTCAAAGGGCTCGTTAATGGTCTGTTTAGTTTGGCTCGCTCTTTCCTTTTCTTAATTAGCGCTTAATTAGGGTTGCGCAAATCCGCCTTGAACTCTGCAGTCTGGCAGACCATCAAATTATGTACAGGTGCAAAAAAGAATTAAGTGAACTTGAAAGACCGGTCGCTCAATATCCTCACATGTAGAGACGCGTACGTGGTTTTTGGCGAGTAAGCCTCACGCTCAAATTGCACATCTCTTTCTGCGCTGCTCGCTGAAAACCGCGTGTTTTCGCAGCCCCAAAGTGCCTTTTCGACCTTCAAAAACTAACTCGGTTAAAACGTCATTTTCATTTATATATGAAATTTAATTACCGCGCGCCGGACCATAGCTGGAAATTAAAAGCGTTGCCTCTTGGCTTCAGCGATGAGCCGCGGATTATTTGGACATGTTTCGCAATGTTTCTCGCCTGCTCGTAAAAATGAGACGGAATGTAATTTCACTGCTTGTTCCTGGTATGGACAAAAGCTCGCTGAAGATGGCCGGTCGGTTTGACGAGAGAACTAGAGGGCTTTAGAGGCGAAATTAAACCCTTTTCTGCTGTGATTATGTTTCAGGCGCGCAGCGAAGCAGATGAGAAAATTACAGCTAATGCCGTAATTATTTCTAGATGGGTCTCGCTTGATAAAACTGGTTAGGGTCCGTCATTCTGAATCATTTTCAAAACAATATTTTCCCCCAAAATGAAGGAAAAAATTGAAAAGCCTAATAATATTTGGAAAAAAATAATTAATGATTCTTTTTATAAATTAAAATTTAAAACATATTAAGGAAATCGCTTTCCTGTTTTTGCAACAATTTTTAGTCAATATCTAAATTGTAATATAAAATAAACCACAATTTTTTTTTTTCATCAATTTGTAGACTTAAATAAAATTTATCAATTTATGTTATTTCTTTCAATTTGTTAGGTTTAATGGATTCTATTGTATGTTTTCTTCTAAAAGGGTTAAGTTCATGGCGAAATAAAGTATTAAGTGGGAATTTCTTTTTATGTGTTTTTTAATTGAATTGAACAGCAGCCCTTGAGAAAAAGCATGCGCTCGGCGAATATCACCGTAAAGCCGCAAAAATTCGCAGCTTTATGGATCAGGTTACTGGAGTGCTCCGGTTGGAAAAAAAACTCGAAAGCAGTGGAAAAAATTATGATGTTGCAAGTTGAGATCAGACCATTACTCACATTATATTGTTATGTATTTCGTTTCAACACCCAAAGTTCCCCCTCCAATCTCTTTTGTCAAATTGCTGTTGATTTTTCTGAGAGCTTTGGTTTTCATCAAAAGTGCGTAATGACGACCAATTTTCTCGCACTGCTCTCAAATTATAGTATACATGTGGAATTCTCGCACAAAAGATACAAATGCGTAGAGCGCGATATTTGCTGCTGGCTCCGAGTCCATTCAAAAGCATGAGAGAGCGAATGGCCGCTCTCATTGTAATTGCAGGTGTTCCGGGACTGAATCGGGCAGTAATTCACACGTGCATTTCCTGAGAAAAAGGAGTGGGCGGGGCGGCCAGAGCTCCCTGAATGTAAAACAAGATCAAATTCACTTCTCTCTCCCGCGGCCGACGCTCTTTTCACTCACCAAGGGGAGCATTTTAATGAAGAGCTTGACACGGATATTATATAATGCACATTAATTTTTTCCTCCTGCAACGAAAAAAAGTTGAATCGTAAAATCTTTTAGGGGCGTCTTGTTTGTTAGGACTGTTAATGAAGTCCCGGACGCCACTCCCTGCAGCTCTAACCTGATAAATTTTGATTCGCCGACGGATTTAATTACAAATCCATTTCGCCTGCCATCAAGCGTAAAAATCACTCAAAAAAGCGACTGGTATGTTTGTCGTGTTATTTTTGCCGGAGCGCACCATCAATTTTTTTTTATTATTGACGTGCTTGCTTTTTTTCACGTGGCCAATTAACCGGCGACAAATCGATCAATTTTGTGCCATCAAATTTAATTAAACGCGCGTCTGTCGTGTCTCCGAAATAAATTTTTATACTTTCTGGCGGCCGCTGGTAATTGTCCTAACAAAGTGCAAAAGTGCAGAATAACGATTGTCACGGCCATTTGGTCGGTTTGCAAGGGAAATGGCACGTACACACACACCTCTCACTTGGAAAAAAGGCCTGCTGGTGATGATGATAATAGTAGCGAGTCCGAGAGAGCAAGGTTGTTAAACCCGACGCTAGCTCTCGGCTTTGGCAGCGCGGATAAATTGGGTGTAATGTTTTCTTTTTTTACTCTGTGGCACAAAAACAGACTCTGTGGCGCATTATTTTTGTGTTTTGATGGAAGGATATATTTTGGTCCGGTCGGCAATGAGAATGCAGGATTGTCTCTTCCTCACGGATTAATATATTAATAAAAAAAATATATATGTATGGAAAGGGGAACAAAAATATGCCAGACCGACACTCTCATTTTTCCAATGCACTTCGGGGGTGGGATTGCTTTAATAACAGAAAAGGGAATAATAGGAGAGAAGGCAGGCGATGACACATCAACTCCTAGCTGCTGCCATTCCTCCAGATTTTTGACTATTGCTGCCAGATGATGATTGTATTGTGTGCAGCCGGGGAGTTCTGGTGGGTGAATTTGGATAATGGGGGTGGGCGAGAGAGAGAGAGAGAGAGCGATCGCAGGAGCAGACCTATCCGATTTAACGAGATGCTATCTGTTCTATTGAAAAGATAACATTTTCCTTTTGCGAAAAGAAATCTGCTTAGGAAGGAAATGATGCAGGAGGGAAAGGGCATGTGTTGTGACCACTTTAAAGGGAGAGCTCTTGATGGGATTAGCCATCCAATTTGCGATCGAACGAACGTGAAATGAAACCTTTTAGGATTTATTGCAATCAAAATGCAAATTCCGCAGCATTGGAAATAAATGTTTTGTGAAATTCAAGGAAAGCAATGGAGTGAGGATATGTATTTATTATTCTTCAAATGCAGTGAGGAATTTTGCCCAAATCCAGAGAAGACTTTATGGAATGCAGGCTCAACAAACCTTTCAAAATGAAATGAAACAATAAAAATCATTCATTTAATTGATTAATTAAAGAGTTTTTGCTTGTAATTCTACAGGTTTGAGCCAAATTTTTATAAATTTTTTTTGTTTCAGTGGATTCGCTTGTAATTTAAAATATTTGAAGAAATTTTTAAACACTTAAATTCTGCTATACCAAAATAATATTTTATTATTAGTATTCTTTCCATAATTTACAGAGCATTGAAGCTTCTAATGATAATTTGTAATCAAATGTATACCAAAGAAACCGTTTACAACAACTTTATTTTGAATCAGTGCCGGTGTTGCTGAGGGAACAGAGACAAACGCCGTCGCGCCATTCTTTGAACGCTGCCGTATCCAATTCTCGCGCAAAAACTGCTGAACACGTACAACGTCTAAAAAGTTTTTGCGCGGCAAACACCTTGCTGGAAATTTTCCGTCCTTCTCTCTCCTACAGGTGTAACTGACACAACACACACGCCGGAGAATATTTTCAAAGCATAGTCTATGTAGCCGAAGTGAGATAAATATTCCTCTCGAAGGAATTCTTTTATTCGGACGAGTAGCAGGTCGCTCTTTTTATATTCCAACCTGCCACGGCGCGCAGTTGCTCTCTTTTTTTATACAACAAACGCCCGCGGTTACGGCCTCTCATATTATTGAATTCATCTAACAGCCAGCACAGCAGCAAATAATAAATGCCCGGGTTGAGTTGGCAGTTGTCGGAGGAGAAGCTATGGGAGGAGAACGCCGCGATGAATTCTGCATTTCGGGGGTTTCGAGTTTCAACAAATATTGCGCCGCGAGACCGAACCTGCTTGCACCCTTTGGGAAAATTCACGGTCCGCACTTGTTATTATTCCTCGCGAGACGGGGGGATTCAATCAGCGCGGCGCCAAATCTCTCTTTTATGCATTCAATCAAATCGCTGAGCAAATTAGAATTTCGGATATAATATATTAAAGGCGCTTTTTTTAAAGAGCTGTCGTTTTCCTTATCGGGCGCTGGTTTTCTAAAATTTGTTTTTCTATTTCCTTATGGGCACAGTAAGATATTTGGAGAAAATTTTGTTTTGTCACGCTCATGCTGTTTAGTAGATTTCTGATTTGCGTAGCGGGCTGTGCGGGATTATAATTTATTTCTTGCTTGTCAAAATTACAAATTAACAAGATATTATACAAACAGTTTCTTTATATGTATAAGAAGGTCGATCGATATGCCGCTATTCTTTTATTAATTTATGCAATCCCCCCTTGCTTTATAATTCAAATCTAACCCAGAGAGTCATATAATTGGTTGCACTCAAAGAGCCTCTCCATCACACTTCTTCATTTCGCAACTGCGAATCTAATTTTGCAATTTATTCCAGAAGTGCAATACTCGTACCAAGTGGAAGGTTTTTACAAACACACATGCGCGAACAAATGAAGAGCAGATAGAAGTCGTCGGCTGGAAAAGGCAATATCATGCAGATGATATTGGAAATAAATTGGCTAGGCTTGTATGAAATTCCCTACTAAAAAGGGCTTCGGGAGATGTCGCGAGTCAGAGCAAAAGGTTAACAGGAATGTTTCATATTTTTCGTTCCATACCGTTTCTCTGCTCTTTGCGAAAAGGAAATGCTTGCTATATTTCACTTGGTAATTGCCTCGGTCATACACACAGCGAGTGCAATATTGAAAATCCAATCCTGTCCGTGCCGATATTTATTTATACAGAAAAAAATACGCTGAGCAAGCGAAATGCATTTTCTATTAAATGGCTCTCTCGTTTATGAGTTCTCTCGTCCCATCTTTTCTCGGGGTGTTTGCGCCGCTGACCTGTGCAGTGCTTGATTATCAAAGGATTC